CCCTGAATTTTACTTTTCATAAGTCAAATAATAAGCATGACATCAGCAGTTATGCTTACATTAGTAAAATGTCAGACTTTCTTTTTTTGACTTGAAGAATTTCTCTAGTTTGGAAAGGAGGGAGTTTTCATTATTTACTTCTGCCATGTGTTTCATTTATATTTTCTTGACTATTTATTTATTTATTTATGTTTTAGAGGTTCTTTTTTTGCTATAGGGTGCGTGCACTCACCAGACACAGAGGGAGAGACAGAGAGATAGAAAGTGAGAAATCACCCCCCAGGGGGGATGGCCACGCCACAATCCCTTCTCCTCCATTCTCTTCTTGGGATCTTGGGCATGTACACACACGTGCCCGGCACGAGTTTAAGCCACCAGGTCCGGGATGCGAACCGTGGTTGACTACGTGGGAGTCCAGTGACATAGCCATTACGCTAACTGCTGGTCCCTCTCTTGACTATTATTGGGAAGTTTTACTTTAAAGTGTTTTTTTTTCGTTGTTATTTTTAATGTGAACTAGAAGTGTCCATGAAACATTTGTTAGATTTATAACTATAACTTTATAGTTAGTTTCTAATTCATATGATGATTTCTGTAATATTTCTAAAAATATCAATATATGACATACTAATTATATTGACTATGTTAAAATATAATTTACATGTTTTGTTCTTAAAATGTCAGAAGTTGCACACATTTAAAAATGTAAATTATGCATATTAAAACAATCCCTACGCTTTACTAATAATATTAATGCATATTTAGTTTGGGGTTTTTTTAGAGAGAGAGATTTTTGCTATAGGATGTGTACATTTGCTGGAGTAACAGAGACAGAGACAGAAAGTAAGAAATCTTCTGGGGGAATGGTCACATCGCAATCCCTTCTCTTCCATTCTCCTCTCAGGATTTTGGACACACATGCACATGGGCCCAGTGTGAGTATTTTTTTTTTTGAGGGTTTTCTTTTTTTTTTTTTTTTTTTGCTTTAGGGCATGCCAGAAAGACAGAGACAGAGAGAAGAAAGTGAGAAATCATCCCCCAGTGGGAATGGCCACGCCACAATCCCTTCTCCTCCATTCTTCTCTTGGGATCTTGGGCATGTATGCACGCACCCGTTGTGAGTTTAAGCCACTGGATCTGGGACTTGAGCTGTGGTCGACTACATGGGAGTCCAGCGACATAGCCATTATGCCAACTGCTGGTCCTCATCTCAGTGTGTTTTTTTTTTTGAAAAGATTTTTGCGATAAGGCCTGTGTGCTCTCCAGAACGACAGAGACAGAGAGATAGAAAGTGAGAAATCACCCCCCCGGCGGGGATGGCCATGCTGCAATCCCTTCTCCTCCATTCTCCTCTCAGGATCTTGGGCACGCATGCACACGTGCCCGGCGTGAGTTGAAGCCACTGGGTCTGGGACTCGAATTGCGGTCGACTACATGGGAGTCCAGTGACACAGCGGTTACTCCAACTGCTGGTCCCCCGGTGTGAGTTTTAAGCTGCTGGGTCCTGGACTCAAACCGCAATCGACTATATGGGAGTCCAGCGATGTAACCATTACGCCATCTGCTGGTCCCTATTTTTGGATTTTAAAGCACTTTGTGATATATTAATTCTGTAGAAAACTTCTGGCTATTTATTCCTATTAAAAAAACTTTCATTTAGGGGGAAACAGCAGTTAGCGTAATGGCTATGTCGCTGGACTCCCACGTAGTCAACCGCGGTTCACGTCCCGGACCCAGTGGCTTAAAACTCACGCTGGGCACGTGTGCGTACGTGCCCAAGAGAAGGGATTGTGGCGTGACCATCCTCCCTGGGGAGTGATTTCTCGCTTTCTGTCTCTCTGTCTCTCTCTGTCTGGCGAGCGCACGCACCCTATAGTGAAAAAACCTCTCCAAAAAAAAAAACCTTTCATTTAGGGACTAATAGGTGGCCTGGTTGTTAAGACATTGGATTCCATATGGCCAAATCTGTGGGTCCACTCTTGGACCCAGTGGCCTGAAAATCACACTGGGTGCATGAGTGTATGAGTCCAAAATCCTGAGAGGAGAATGGAGGAGAAGGGACTGCGACGTGGCGATCCCCAGTGGGAGGTGATTCTCATGTTTCTCACTTTCTCTCTGTCTCTCTCCAGTGAGCTCACACACTGTATGGCACAGAACAAAACTAAACACTTTTATTTAAATCATAATAAACTTGATGATGACTAGGAAAACCACCATTTCTAAGATTACCATATGGAAAAGTTATCTATCTAAACAGTTTTTTTTCTTTAATTTAAAATTTTAATTCTTATATTGGGTTTTTATATTTTTTGCTTGCTTGTCTTTCAGTTAGGTGTGTACTTTGTTCCCTCCTCATTCATATTCATATATATACACACACACACACATATATACACACACACACACACATATATATATATACTGGTATATATATGCATATTAATGACTCTAGAAGAGCTTGACTCATATTTTTTCTTCTAGTATTTAAAGATGTGATTGGGGGGCCAACAGATGGTGTGGTGATGGGGGTGCTGAACTCCCATGTGATGACTGTGGTTCAAGTTCTGGACCTGGTGGCTTGCTTTCTCACTTTTCTCCCTCCTCTCTCTCTCTTGCTCTGTCCCTCTCTGGTCAAATTAAAATTAATAAATAAATAAAGTTAAATAAAGTAATTCTTTAATAAAAAAGAAGTGATTAAGAAATGACATACTGGTTGCTACAGTGGGAAACGGTCAGGAACTATTAGCACTAAAACAAACACAGCCTCCCTCCCTTAAAGCAATTAGAGAAAACTAAACATTTGATAATCTCATAAAATAGTTTGATTTGGGATATAATCATTAAGTAACTTTCTGAGATAATATCACTTTACTTTCATAATTAGTAACATATTTATACGTTTTACACTTTTAATTCTTTTGTTTCTAGGCCGCAGACAATTAAGAGACCTTTAAATCCTTTGGCTTCTGGTCAAGGTGAGTTACTTGCGTTGTTACGTTATTTTGGTTAGAAGGAAGAGGCAGGCAGGATAAACGGGAGAACAGTTCAGGTCTTAATCCATTATCTCTGTAGAAGGTATGCCTTACTTTTGCAGAGATTGGTGTTTAAAATAGGCTTGAGTACTGAGCATTTCTGTAATTAAGTTTGTGGTGTTAGACTGTGAGAGAATGAAAATGAGGATATTTATTGTTTCTTCTAGGCATTTTTGCAGACACACTACTGTATGTGTTCAGTTTTTTCATTTTTGCCCATCTTTCAGATCAATAAATATACAAAAATCTCCCCCCAATTTTTCCCATAACTTGAAATTATGACATATATTGGGAGTCTGATTCCAATTCACATGCCCTTTTTATCTCATTAACAGTTTCATTTGCTACTTATACACAAGATCTGGCCAAAACACTACCTTTTCCCTAGTCCTCCTAAGTGGAAGTAATCTTTCCCGCCTCATGAAGTAATCTTAAGCCATGTTTTGTTTCCCACTTACAGCCTTTTTCATGGTGAAATGTTACTTTATTATTTTTTGTATGTCTGTTGATCTGCCCTAGTACTTTGGGCATATTTTGGAGCATTTATCTGTTTTAGCTCTTTTTTTAAAATTAAAAGAAAATTTATTTATTATTATTATTATTATTTTAAAATTTGCTTCTGGGCACATGGATTTACCAGTGAGAGATGGGGGTTGAAGGGAGAGTGAGAAAGCAAGCCGCCAGGTCTGGGATTTGAACTGTGGTTAACTATGTGGGAGTCCAGTTACTTAACCACCATGCCACCTGCTGGCTCCATTTTAGCTCTTTTTTTTTCGGTTTTTATATTTTTTGAGAGAGATTTTGCTATAGAGACAGAGGGAGTGAGAAATCACCACCCAGTGGGCATGGCTACACCATAATCCCTTATCCTTCATGGTCCTCTCGGGACTTTGGGCACACACACACACAGACACACACACATGCCTGGCTTGAGTTTTTTATTTTTTTTTAAATTTTAACTTTATTTATTATTATTATCATTATTATTTTCCAGTTTGATCAGAGAGAGACAGAGAGAGAGAGAGGAAGTGAGAAAGCAAGCCACCAGGTCCGAGACTTGAACCGTGGTCGGCCATGTGGGAGTCCAGCGCCTTTAACCACCATGCCACTTCCTGACCCCTGGCTTGAGTTTTTCTTTTCTTTTTTTTTTTTTTTAAAGAATTATTTAATTTAATTATTATCATTATTATTATTTCAGTTTGATCAGAGAGAGAGAGACAGAGAAAGAGCGAGAGGGAAAGTGAGAAAGCAAGCCACCAGGTCCATGATTCTAACCACTGTCAACCATGTGGGAGAACAGTGCCTCTAACCCATGCTACCTGCTGGCCCTCTGGTGTGAGTTTCAAGCCACTGGGTCTGGGACTCAAACCATAGTTGACTATGTCGGAGTCCAGCAATGAAACCATTATGCTATCTGCTGGTCCCCCATTTCAGTTCTTAATATGTTACCTGACACAACAGATGGAGTAGTTAGTTAGATAACTGATTAATGAAAATTCTTTCCTCTATGAATTGTCTTGGTGTGGCTAAGTGAAATAGTGAAAATCAATTCTTTTTTGAGAATTATTTTATTTAACTATTTTTATTTATTTATTTTAATTTGACCAGAGAGGGACAGAGAGAGAGAAGGAAAGTCAGAAAGCGAGGCACCAGGTCCAGGACTTGAACTGTGTGCGGTCAGCCATGTGGGAGTCCAGCGCTCTTGACCACCATGCCACCTGCCTGCCCCATCAGTTGTTCTTTCAACAAATTATTATATGCCATTTATTATGTGCTAGGCACTGTATAGGTGCCGGGGAAATGTAACGTTGAAATCCACAAATCCTGTCCCGTCTATACCAGGTAGAATGGCTTGTTGAATAAACAGTTTCGGTGTATGATTTCAAGACTTTTTTTCCTAGAAAATATTTGTCTATGTTATCTTCAGATATGTGTTTACTGATAAAATCTTTGATGTGCTTTTAGCAAAATGTGTAAAGTTTTCACTTTAAATTTTATTTAAAAGATGCTGATCTCATATAGTCAATAAATACAGAGTTCTTCCTGGGAAGTGATGAGAGCATCATCCCCTAAATGCTGGCAGATGTGCTTCCCCAGATGAGGGATGAAAGACCATCTTTAAATTAGGCTTTTGTGCTTTTAGTGAGTTACGTTGTGATTCAGTGGAAGCTTCGATTTAACATCAAATGAAATGCAAAAATCTTGGGCAAGAGGTTCTTCACTATGAACTTGCATTATGATGCGATAAATTAATTAACCACCCTCACTTACCTGAAAGATGAATAGGAACAATTTAAGTTTTTATCATTAGGGAACTAGTTAAATGACTTGTATTATAGTCACATAATAAAATACAGCCATTATAAATGTTGTAAATTTGTGCTGATGTAAAGCAAAATTGACCAGAACATTGGGGAAAAGAAGCAGGTATCAAAACAATATGTACATTATATTTTTTATTAAAAAAAAAAAAGCCTAATTGGGACCAGCACTTGGCAGAATGGCTATGTCGCTGGACTCCCATGATGTCGCCTGCTGTTCAAGTCCCAGACCCGGTGGCTTGAACTCATGCCGGGCACGTGTGCATGCGTGCCCAAAGAGCCCAAGATCCCGAGAAGAGAATGGAGGAGAAGGGATCATGACGTGGCTATCCTCCCTGGGAGGTGATTTCTCGCTTTCTCTCTGTCTCTCTCTGTCTTTCTGGCGAGCGCACATGCCCTACAGCAAAAACCTCTCCAAAAAATAAAGAAATTAAAAAAAAAAACATAATTAAGGGGTTAGCAGGTGGTGTTGTGGTTAAGAGCACTCCCACATGACTAACCATGGTTTGAGTCCCGGACCTGGCTGCTTGCTTTCTTGCTCTCTCTCTCGCTCTCCTTCTCTGGTCAAATTAAAAATAAATAAATAAATAAATAAATAAATAAAGTTAAATAAATTAATTCTTTATAAGATAATTAATATAATCACTAAATATCTATAAAACACAAAGAAAAACGACATTTATAAAAATGTACATAGTGTTTATATTGGGGTGGGAGTTATGTGTCTCTTTTTTTAAGTATCTATTTGCATTGAGTATATTACTGTGTAATCAATGTTGGCATTAAAGAGAAGTGGGCAAAATGAAGACAAGTTTTTAATAGTAAATAAGTGAGCACCATACAAATTGCTACACCATGTATAATTTGAATCGTATTGATAGTCTTTGAAAATATTTCTGACTATGATTAAATCTTTTAATGCCAACTGGAGGTTTCAAAGCAATAATACAAACCTTACCAGAAACTATGTTATAGCTCTAGAATAAATAAATGTGGAAAAAAAGCTCTACCAGGCAAATAAATCTAAGTCCTTAAGATATTTCAGAGTATTCTCAGATGATGGTCTAGGTATTTCTCTCCCGTCAGCCTATATTAAATCGTAGGTGAGCTGAAACTGCTCTCTGCGTGCTCCTGAGGTAATGCTGGCTAGCTGGCTCAGGCGTTGGCGAGTTGCAGTGAAGGGTGTCTGACTCCCATTTTCCTCGTGTGGATGAACTGAAAGATTGAAACTAACCGTGATTAAAAATGCCTATTTTCATGAAAGTGTAGCATTATAAAAGGGACACCTGGGAGGTGTTCATTATAATGAACTTCTGTTTTGTTTTGTTTTTCAGGGAAAAGTAAAGGTAAGTGTAACTTTTTTGTCATCCATCAGATTTATGAATTTACCTGTGCATTCAGATGTTTATTATGGCAAGCTACTGATTCTTCCCACGTCTGAGAACTTAATTTTTTTTATCTGTCTAAAATTCTGGAGGTGGAGGCAGAGGTTAAGGGAAAATGACTGTGTTGAGGCTTAGCGTCAGGCAGTTCATTTGCATTTCCCACGGAAGGTAGAAGGTGGGGATATCGCAAGGACAACTTCCTCCCTGCTTTACTGATCGAACTCTAGATCTGAGAGGTCTCATACAGGAAGGTTCTAGACAGGATGAGTACTGATCCTAGAGCTGGCTCTTAAAGCTTTAGCAGATTCTTGGGTGCAGGTATCATTGCCCAGACTAAGTTAATAGTAATGTTAAAAATTGTTAAAATATTTTAGGTTTACTTTGCATTTTTTACTTTACGGGTGAGATTGAAATGACTTGTTATGCCTTTGTTTAAATTATTCATTTAATTTTATTTATTGTTTTTAGTTTTTAATTTATTACATGGTACATGCACTCACAAGAGACAGAGAGGGAAAGTGAAAACAAGCCACCAAGTCTGGAACTTGAACCGTGGTTGCCCACATGGGAGTCCAGTACCCCAAGCACCACACCACCTGCTGGCCCATGACTTGTTATTCTTTTTTTTTTGGACAGGTTTTTGCTATAGGGCATATGTGCTTGCCAGAAAGAGAGAGACAGAGAGACAGAAAGCGAAAAATCACACCCCAGGGGGGATGGCCATGCTGCAATCCCTTTTCCTCCATTCTTCTCTTGGGATCTTGGGCACGCACACACACACACACACACACACACCTGGTGTGAGTTTAAGCCACTGGGTCTGAGACTCGAACCGCAGTCGACTACATGAGAGTCCAGCAACATAGCTATTTTGCTAACTGCTACTTCCGTGACTTGTCATTTCACTATTCCAATGTGTTTCACAGCTTACCAATGTGAAAAGACTTAATCATTCCTTAGCTTTAGTCTATCTAGATGAAGTTGCTAAAATGAGACATATCATTATTCTCTTCTTCAAGATCCTCTTATGTTCTGAACACTGAATGCACTGTTTATGAACTGCCTTTGCATTATGTAGAATACTAAAGTCTGATAATATTTTTCTTTTCTTTTTTTTGAGTTTTTGATATAGCGCACATGTGCTCACTGAAGCAGGTGGGGGGAGAGAGCAAAGTGAGAAATCACCCCTTATGGGGGATGGCCATACTGCAATTCCCTCTCCTCCATTCTCCTCTCAGGATTTTGGGCACACAAGCACATGCACCTGGCATATTCTGGGACTCCGACCGTGAGGTTGGCTATGTGGAATCCAGCTACCTTAACCTCCATGCTACCTGCTGGCCCTAACATTGCTTTTTAATAACTGTATTTTATCTTATAGTAACTATAGCAGCTAGGTAAAATGCTTAGTCAGAACTATACTCTTTGGAAGATAAACTGCTTAGCAATGAGATTATTTTTTTCTTTACTTCCTTTTTTTTTATTTTAAGAGAGATTTTTGCTATAGGGTGTGTGCGCTTATTGGAGAGACAGCCACAGCGTAACCCCTTCTCCTCCATTCTCCTCTTGGGCCACAGTGTAACCTCTTCTCCTCCATTCTCCTCTTGGGATTTTGGGCACATAAGCACATGTGCCTGGAGTGAGTTTAAGCCACTGGGTCTGGGACTTGAACCACGGATGGCCATGTGGGAGTCCAGTGATGTAAGCATTATGCCATCTGCCATCTGCTGGTGCCTTGAGTTATTTCTTCAGAGCATAGTTCTTTTTTTTTTTGGAGAGGTTTTGCTGTAGGGCGCATACACTCGCCAGAAAGACAGAGGGAGACAGAGAGACAGAAGGAGAGAAATCACTCCCCAGAGGGGATGGCCACTCAACAATCCCTTCTCCTCTTAGGATCTTGGGCACACATGCACACATGCCTGGTGTGAGTTTAAGCCACCGGATCTGGGACTCGAACCACAGTTGGCTACATGGGAGTCCAGCGATATAGCCATTACACCATCCGTGGGTCCCATTTAGAGCATAGTTCTAAAAACAGAATAACCACAGCTAACCAAGTATATTAACAGTGATCTTATTAGGTAATAGAATATAAATGACATTTGATTTTTGTACCATTTCCAAGAATTGCTCTTTTGGAATAGTGAATGACTTGTAATACTATCAGCTATATGCAAATATTATACCTCTAATATTATTTATAATTTTTATTTATTTTTTAACTTAAAAAGCAAATAACTAGTCCTTAATTTTTATGGCATGCATTGTTATTCATTTACACATTTTGATTGATCTACTATTAACATTCTGTATTTTGACCTAATTTAAAGCACTTGGTTAGGGCCAGCAGGTGGTGTGGTGGTTAAGATACTGAACTCCCACATGGGGAACCACGGTTTGAGTTCCAGACCTGTTGGCTTGCTTCCTCATTTTCCCTCTCTCTCTTTTTCTGGTGAATGCATGTGCTCTATGGCACATATATACATACATACATACATTAAAAAAATAAATAATTCTTTAAAAAACCCTAAGACGCTCAGTCTAGAAAGTTGTAAGACTGGAGCAAGCTAAGGCATTGGTAGAGCTTTGTAAAAACTGAGCTTAGGGGAGCAGTCCTTGACTGAATCCATAGCAGGACATAGCCTCTAGGCTAAAAGATCTTTTTTTTTTTTTTTTTTTTTTTGAGAGAGATTTTCACTATAGGGCGCGTACGCTCGCCAGACAGACAGAGAGAGACATAGAGACAGAAAGCGAGAAATCACCCCCCAGGGGGGATGGTCACGCCGCAATCCCTTCTCCTCCATTCTCCTCTCGGGATCTTGGGCATGCACGCACACACGCCCGGCGTGAGTTTTAAGCCACCGGGTCCGGGACGCGAACCGCGGTCAACTACGTGGGAGTCCAGCGACATAGCCATTACGCTAACTGCTGGTTCCCAAGGCTAAAAGATCTTTATATCACTGTTTGGCGCACATTTGCTATCATGGTTTAAAACTTTTAAAAACCTGTATTTTGGCACTTTTCCAACCTTGTGACTTATTTTTCTTTCTTTTTTCAGAAAACGCTTTTTACAGTTGGCTAGAAGGTAATTAGAAATGTTAAAACAAATTCAAATGATCTTTTGTTCTCATTTTAAAAGAGATACGAAATTAAGTTTCTATACAAGATTCACATATGACATTTTATTTCCAAATTACTGACTTGTTTTAGGTCTCTGTGTAGAAAAAAGAGCATTCTACAGACTTATATCTGGCCTCCATGCAAGCATTAATGTGCATTTGAGTGCAAGATATCTTTTGCAAGGTATGTGCCGTTCACTTTCATTCGCTGTACCACACTGAGTTTCAGAGACTCATAAAGTTTTCCTGGCTGTCTTGGTGTTTCAGTGGTGATATGCTGCCCAAGTGAAGTTGGGAGGTCACAGATTTGGCTCCTTGATGTGCTCGTACACATGGGCAGGCGTGTCCATGATTCTAGTGGCTGGGACACTGATGGGGATTGTGGTGTGAGACCATGTTTAGAGTGCTTGTTTTTTCTCCCCCTCCCTCTTTCTCTCATGAAAGAAATAAACTTAAATGTTTTCTTGGGGACCAGCAGATGGCGTAATGGTTGTGTTGCTCAACTCCCACATGGCTGACCGTGGTTCGAGTCCCCGATCCAGCAGCTTGAAAGGCTGGGCATGTGTGCATGCATATCTAAGATCCTGAGAGAAGAATAGAGGAGACGGGATTGCAACATGGCCATCCCCACAATGGGGTGATTTCTTGCTTTCTGTTTCTCTGTCTCTGTCTGTCTTTCCAGCGAGTGTACCACCCTATAGCAAAATCTCTCTTACAAAAAAGTTTTCTTGGTATTTCCCCAAATGGGAAAAGATGGACATATTATATAAAAAAAAGTAAAAATCCATTCTTTTATTTTTATTTTATTTTCTGGAGAGATTTTTGCTAAAGGGTGCGTGTGCTCTCCAGAAAGACAAAGAGAGAAACAGAGAGATAGAATGCGAAAAATTACCCTCCAGGGGGATGGCCATGCCACAATCCCTTCTCCTCCATTCTCTTCTCAGGATCTTGGGCATGCATGCACAGGTATTGGACGTGAGTTTAAGCCACCGGGTCCAGGACTTGAACCGCGGTCGACCACATGGGAGTTCAGCGACGTAGCCATTATGCTAACTGTTGATCCCCATTCTTTTATTTTTTTTTAAAGAATTAATTTTATTTATTATTTTTTAATTTGACCAGAGGGCGGCGGGGATGAGAAAGCAAGCTACCAGGTGAGAAAGCAAGCTACTAGGTCTGGGACTCAAACTGCAGCTGGCCAGGTGGGAGTCCAGCCACACCATCTGCTGGTCCTTAAAATTCCATTCTTAAATGGTGATAATCAGGAATATGGGATCTGTGGGTATAATAGAATGGTTTAACATGTTCTCAGTTCTCCTCATCTTTTAAGAAGTTACCCCCACATACTATACATCACAAATATTATTTTGTTGTGGGAATTAAAATACCTCCTAAGAGCATAGCTTGTTATTTGCTAGATATTATTGTACTGGAATCTTTGTATTTATGTGCCAGAGTCAGGCCTGGAATTTTAATGGGTAAATGCATTTCCTGTTATTGTTTATGCTTTAAAGGTGCTATTGAAAAAATAAGACCATGGTTGATTTTTATCAGCAGTGTGTTTTTTCTTGAATTAAAATATCTCTTTTTCTTTTTTTTTAAAAAGAATTATTTATTTAATTTTATTTGTTATTTTTTAAAATTTAACCAGAGAGGGAAGAGAAAGGGAAAGTGAGAAGTAAGCTGCCAGGTCCAGGACTTGAACCATGGCCAGCCATGTAGTCCAGTGCCTTAACCACTATGCCACCTACTGGCTCCCAAAATATCTCTTACTTCTTAGAAATAAAATACAGTAGTTTTGATTTTACACAGTGCTTTAAATCATTAGTAATTCCATATAGTCATACAGTCATTTTAATATAGTAATTTCATATAGTACATTTCATTGTACTCTTTTTTCCAAGGAGTATATTGTGCTCATCATAGATAGCAATTTTTAAATTGTGTATTTTGCTTTCATGAATATGTTTATATTCAGAAGTTTGTTGTTTGTTAGAACTTTTCCATAAAACATTGATTTCATTTTACTTTGGGTTGGGTTATGAAATATTAGGAACCAGCAGGTGGCATGATGGTTAAGGCACTGGACTCCCATATGTCCAACTGCGGTTCAAGCCCTGGGCCTGGTGGCTTGAAAATCAGGATGAGTACTTGTGCATGCATGCCCAGAATCCCAGGAGGAGAGTGGAGGAGGAGGGATTGTGGTGTGGTCATCCCCTTGGGGGTTGATTTCTTACTTTCCCTCTCACTGTCTCTTTCTGCCTCTCCAACAAGTGCACATGACCTATAGTGAAAACCTAAAAAAAAAAAAAAAGATAGAATATTAATATAGAACTTTTAAAGGCTAAACTATGGAAAAGTTTTCTTGGTATTTATTATATTGGGTCATTGGAAAAGTCACAATGGATTTTTGCATAGAAAAACAGGAAAAAATAGGTCATGACTTTTCCGATGACCCAATATGTTTTTTTGTTTTTTTTTTGAGAGGTTTTCTCTATAGGGTGTGTGGGTTCGCCAGAAAGACAGAGAGAGACAGAGAGATAGAAAGCGAGAAATCACCCCCCAGGGGAGATGGCCACGCCTCCATCCCTTCTCCTCCATTCTCCTCTTGGGATCTTGGGCACGCATGCACACGCACCCGGTGTGAGTTTAAGTCGCCCGGTCCAGGACTTGAACTGCGTTCAACTATGTAGGAGTCCAGAGACACAGCCATTACGCTAACTGCTGGACCCGACCCAATATGTTTTAGAATACAAAATGAAATTAACTTCTGTAGGCATAAATAAAATAATGTAATTAAAATTAATGATAAACTTTAGTTTTTTTAAAAACAATTTTTAGAGAGAGATTTGCTATTGGGCCTGTGTGCGTGCCGGAGAGATAGAAAGTGAGAAATCACCTCTAGAGGGCAGGTTTGGTCACACAGCAATCCCTTCTCCTCCAGTCCTTTCAGGATTTTGGGCACACACACACACACACACACACACACACGCGCGCGCGCACACACACACACACACACACACACACACACACACATACACCTGACATGAGTTTTAAGCCACTGGGTCCAGGACTCGAACCGTGGTCAACTATGTGGGAGTCCAGCAACGTAACCATTATGCCATCTAAAATTTAGTTTTTAAGATTTAATTCTTTCTTCTCAGATACCTGGTTGGAACAGAAATGGGGGCACAACATCACAGAATTTCAACAGCGGTTTGATGGCATTTTGACTGAAGGAGAAGGTCCACGAAGACTTAAGAACTTGTATTTTCTCTACTTAATCGAATTAAGGGCTTTATCTAAAGTGTTACCATTCTTTGAGCGGCCAGATTTTCAGCTCTTCACTGGAAATAAAATTCAGGATGCAGAAAACAAAAAGCTACTTCTGGAAATACTTCATGAAATCAAGTAAATGATATATTACAACTTATATTAATAGAAGAGTAATAAGTGGTATACAGAATCAAATTCTTAAATATTCATGTATAGAAAGAAACACTATCTTTTTTCTTTTAGAGAGATTTTTGCTATACGGTGCATGCACTCACCAGAGAGACAGAGAGTGATAGAGATACAGAAAGCAGTAAATCACTCCCAAGGGGGTATGTCCATGCTGCAATCCCTTCTCCTTCATTCTCCCCTTGGGATTTTGGGCACACACGCACATGCACCCAGCATGAGTTTTCTAAGCTGCTGGGTCTGGGACTTGAGCTTCATTTGACTGCATGGGAGTCCAGCAACGTAACCATTACTCAATCTGCTGGTCCCAGAAAGAAACACTATTTAAAAAATAATTAAAGGCCAATTCTGCTGATAAGTCTTTTAGACTTAAATTTTGTTTTTCTCTTTTGTTTTCACTTGAGTACTACAAAAAGCACATTTTTTTTTTTGAGAGGTTTTTTTTTCACTATAGGGCGCGTGCGCTCGCCAGACAGACAGACAGAGAGAGACATAGACAGAAAGCGAGAAATCACCCCCGGGGGGATGGTCACGCCGCAATCCCTTCTCCTCCATTCTCCTCTCGGGATCTTGGGCATGCACGCACACGCGCCCGGCATGAGTTTTAAGCCACCGGGTTCGGGATGCGAACCGCGGTCGACTACGTGGGAGTCCAGCGACATAGCCATTACGCTAACTGCTGGTTCCCTACAAAGAGCACATTTTCAGTTTAAAGAGTCTTGGTACTTGATACTGGCATTTTCTTTTTAAAATTCATTAATTAATTTTAGAGAGATTTTTACTATAGAGTGCATGTGCTCGCTGGAGTGACAGAAAGAGAGAGAGACAGACAGAAAGTGAGAAATCGCCACCATGCTGCTAATCACTTCTCCATTCTCCTTGTGGGATTCAGGGCACACATGCATATGCACCTGGTGTGAGTTTCAGGCCTCCAGATCCAGGACCTGAACTATAGTTGGCCATTTGGGAGTCTAGCGACATAACCATTATGCCATCTACTGGTCCCGACATTGATTATTTTCATATTTAGTTTAACAGATTGGGGTTGGTAACAAACTTAGGTTCTATATTGGAAGTGGCATTTAGATTTGAGGATAAGAATTTGTTTGGGGGCATCAGGATATTGGTTTTTATATGTTTTCTATTATTTTAATTATATTATTTATCATCAAGTACTAAAATGTTGTATTAGGACATTTAGTATTTATAATACATGAAAATAGATACTCTTTCTTTTAAAATGCAGGTCATTTCCTTTGCATTTTGATGAAAATTCATTTTTTGCTGGGGATAAAAAAGAAGCACACAAACTAAAGGTAATTATTTTGTACTTAATCATTATGTACAAACTGGTTAACACTTATGCAGGTATGAATATAAACCCATGTATTACTCATAGAAGCAGAGAGTAGATTGATCTTTATCAGAGACTGGGGAGAGAAGAGCAGTCTGAAATGTTGATCATAGACTACAAAGTTTCGGTTAGAAGGAATACACTTTCAGAATCTATTATAAAGAAAAGAGAGTGTAATACATAATAATTCATTGTATATTTTTATATTACTAAAAGGATAGATTTTTTAAATGTTTTTACCACAAAAAGATAAGTATACAAAGTATTGGATTTAATTAGCTTGACATAAACATCCATAGTATAAACATTTATCAAGATATCACATCGGGGATCAGCAGTTAGTGTAATGGCTATGTCACTGAACTCCCATGTAGTCGACTGCGGTTTGAGTCCTGGACATGGTGGCTTAAACTCACGCTGGGCGCGTGGCGCATGATCCCAAGAGGAGAAAGGAGGAGAAGGGATTGCGGTGTGGCCATCCCCCTGGGCGGAGATTTCTTGCTTTCTATCTTTCTGTCTGTTTCTGTCTGTTGGCAAGCTAACACACCCTATAGCAAAAACCTCTCAAAAAAAAAAAGATATCACATTGTACCCCGTCAACACATACAATTATTATTTGTCAAATAAAAATAAATACAATTCAGGTGTTTATACTTATAGTACATCTTGATATAGAGCTCATAATTGTAAAAAAAAAAAAAAAATCAGAGTCAGTGTTTGTTTTCCTCAAAAAAAACACACCAAAACCAAAACAAACCTTGAAAGGCCGGCCCTGTAGCATAGCAGTGAAGTGCCAGCTATGCATGGAAAGGCAGATTCACTATGGCAAACCGCTGTTCACATCCTGGCCCTGGTGGCTGGAAAAACATACTGGGAGCATGTGTATGTGCCCAAAATCCTGATGGGAAGAAGGAATGGAGGGAAGAGGATTAAAGCATGACTTTGCCTCATTGGGAGTTGCTTCCTCTCTCTCTGGCAAACATGGACAGGACTAACAAAATTAGTTAGCATTATGTTCACAGTAATAACCGAATCTGTATATTGTTGCACAACTTCACTGACAGCTTTCACTTTGATGGTCTCAGTTAATAATTGAAGGCTATAAACTAAAGGGGAGGGATCTAGAGCATGTGTAGCTGCATGAGTCTATCTTTTGCTGAAGAGAATCCTCAAAGTTGTATTGATTAGGGAGCCAGCAGGTGGCATGGTGGTTAAGGTGCCTGGACTCCCAATTGGCTGACTGTAGTTTTGAGTCGCAAACCTGGTGACTTGTGTTTCTCACTTTCCCTTTCTCTCTCTCTCTCTCTGGTCAAATTAGAAAATAAAAACAAAAACTAAACAGTAAGAATAAATAAAATTAAATTTAAAACATTATATTGATTAAATTAAAGGGTATTCTTTGGGGGGGGGCAGGGTGTACTGAGATGTTTTGATCTTATTCACTGGGAATTAAAAGCGGTTAGGAATGCCAGCGTGTAATCATGGGAAGGACAGCCCCAGTACCCCACAAGATCAAGTCTAGCCATTGTCTTGCCTCCTAATATGGCCTCAGGCAAGACTATCTTGAGTGTGTTTTTGCCTCAAAATACTACAAGTATAAACTATGACTAGGAATATTTATGAAATGCTTACTATGTGCAGAGAATGGTTTTTGTCATTTAGAGGAAGTGATAGCTCCTAGTCTTAGTGGATTTCCAGACTGTTTTGGGATTCAAGTAAAATTATACTAGTGTTCTCTGTTACAAAGCTGCTGGTAAGTAAAGGCAGATCACCTAATACCGCTGGGCTTGAGTATTTATGAGAGACTTCAGAAAATCCATGGAAAAATGGAATTGAAGTACAAATTTATTTTCATGTTAAGAATTTTGATGGTCCTGCATGTTTTTTCCTTTTCTTTTTTTTTTTTTTAAGATTTTTTTCAGGGCATACACGCTCACTAGAGAGACAGAGACAGAAAACGAGAAATCACCTGTCCCCCACGGGGAATGGTCGTGCTGCAGTCCCTTCTTCTCCATTCTCCTCTTGGAATTTGGGGCACGCACGCACACATGCCCAGCATGAGTATTAAGCTGCTGGGTCCAGGACTTGAACCATGGTTGACTGTGTGGGAGTCCAGCGACATAACCATTACACCATCTGCTGGTCTCCTGCATAGTTTTTTCCTACTACACATTTTCATGAACTTTCAAAGACCTCTGTGTAACAATCTTCCTCTGTTTCTTATTCTCTTTCCATAGTGAAAGAACCTGATTTTATGCAGCTTGCAAACAAAATACTTTTACACTCAGTTTTTGGCTGTTAGATAATAGTTATTCTTGACCTCCCATCTACCGCCTACTTAAAGTGTTCTTGCTACAAATACATACCTCACTGCTTATATAATCTTCCAAACAGCTTCCAGGAACTTGGAAGTGAGGGGGAAGGTGCTGCAATGAGACTTATTTTTTCCTACTATTTTCAATATGTTCCTTATTTTTAGTTTACTTGCTGGTTTTTGGGAGAGTGTTTTGGCATCCACTCTTTTTAGATGATGCAGATTAGAAATGTTTCACACAGTATTTTAATTTGATTGAAATACTCAGCTTTGATGTTCTATGAAGTTTATGTAGTGAATCCTTACCTATCAGAGAATTTTTTGAATCTTTTCAGGAAAAAAAGAGAAAAACAGGAAACCATGTTATTTTCAGAAATTTCCATTTTTTAAGAAAGTAGTTTCTGTTAAAGATCATGGACTTGGGGGCTGGCAGGTGGCATGGCGGTTAAAGGCGCTGGATTCTCACATGGCCAGCTGTGGTTCAAGTCCCGGACCTGGTGGCCTCCTTTCCTGCTTTCCATTTCTCTCTGTCTCTGTCTCTGGTCAAATTAAAAAAGTACTAATAACAAATGGATTTAAATAAATAAATAATTCTTTAAAAAAGAGATCTTGGATTTTAACAGTCTTTTTTTTTTTTTTTGCTATAGGGCACGTGCGCTCGCCAGACAGACAGAGAGAGACAGACAGAAAGTGAGAAATCACCCCCCGGGGATATGGCCGCAATCCCTTCTCCTCCATTCTCCTCTCGGGGCCTTGGGCACACACGCACATGGGCCCGGCGTGAGTTTAAGCCACCGGGTCTGGGACTTGAACCGTGGTCGACTATGTGGGAGTCCAGCGACATAGCCATTACGCTAACTGCTGGTCCCTTTGAACAATCATATTTATAAGCGTATTTAAAAAATCTCATTTGTCTCCTTTCTACTCTATCAGTGTATGGTTAGAAATTGACTTGCATGGGGACCAGCAGTTAGCGTAATGGCTATGTCGCTGGACTCCTATGTAGTCAACTGTGGTTTGAGTCCTGGACCCAGTGGCTTAAACTCACACTGGGTGCGTGTGCGTGCATGCCCAGGATCCCGAGAGGAGAATGGAGAAGAGATTGCAGCATGGCCATCCCCCCTGGGGGGTGATTTCTCACTTTCTGTCTCTTGGTCTCTCCCTGTCTTTTTGGCGAGTGCACGTGCCCTATAGCAAAAACCTTTCCAAAAAAAAAAAAAGGAAAAGAAATTGACTTGCATGAAAAAGCATTAGTAGTTTTCAATTCAGAATAGAATATGATCTCACTTGAATGCTTGTAAAGCATTTCATAGTTTGGGCAAGAATCCGTCAGTTGATTTCACCAAATATAAATCACAGCATAAAAGCCCAGCATGTTTGATCATTTTGTGAACTAATGTAAGGTGATGACCTGAAGCTGTATACGACAACCAGGAGAGTTTGTAAATGGTTAATAACATTTAGCGTAAGTTCTGGTTATTGTAAGGATCATAAGGTTATCTAATCTGAGATAACTTCAGGGTATATACTTGGGTTATTGAACGTGATTATTTGTGGAAGTCCGTTCTGATCTAGTATATTTGTGGCCTCTTAATAATGGTCTAGTATATTAATTTTATGTAAGCTGAGGATATTGCTATTTCATGTGCTTAATTTTAATTTAACAATATGTATTTGATTATTGCAAATAGCTAGGCCTGTTCTCTGTCATGCATACAAAGATTTACTCACGAGCTGCCATATTTAACTACTTGAATGAACACAGATTCAAACACTGAACGCAGATAATATCTACAAAACTAAGCAGAATCTTTTAGAACAGAGGCCTCCAACCCTTACAAATATGAATTTCTCTTTCTCACTCTCTTCCTCTTTATATTGTTAGAGGGTGGGTGAGCTGACCAGACACAGAGAAAGACAGAGGAAGAGAGAGAGAGCGCTTCCCAGTGGGGTGTGGTCATGCCGCAGTCCTCCATCCTGTCAGAATAAGGGGCATGCGTGCACATGTGCACAGTGTGTTTTTCAAGCTGCTGGAGCATGACTTTAACAGAGGTCAGCCATGTGGGATCTCGCTCCATGCTTAACCACTGCACTACGAAGCTAGCCCCCCAAGTATAGGTCTCGTAGAGTCGAAAGCTTCCAAGATCTCTTCCCATGACAGTATTTTTAGTGTTATTGATTGTGAAAATATAATTGCCCAGAGCCATTATGCATTTAGCAATACTTTTTAAGTAAAACTTGTGTTGTATTGATCATAACATTTATATCTGTTTGGAAATTTATGGTGCATATGTGTGAACTATTTGTCTCTGTCACAGATGGATTCTGTAGACGCTTATCACAGCTATTACATTTCTAGAGGTCAACAGCTCATAAAATGGGAACATGTGCTGTAATCTTATTACTCTATTATTATTGCTGGAAGTGTGATTTTTTTTTAAGGTCAAAACACTAGTGTTAAGGAAACTTCAGTCACAAAATCTATTTAGACTATTATTATTAGGTAGTTTTTTTCTCCACACTTTATTTATTGATGTCTTCCATGAGCAAGCCAGGGAGAGAGAGAGAGAGGAAAAAAAAAAAAAAGACAAAGAGAGAGAGAGAGAGAGAGAGGGGCACTTCCAACAGTGTTGTCGTGCCACAGTCCGCCCCCATTCGTAGCCATGGCTCATGGCCCTGTGCATCTGTGCACCAGTGTGCTCTGGGAGGGCCAGGGGTGCGGACCTCAAGCCTTTCCAACATCGGTCCTGTTGTGTTACTGCCGTGCCCTCGCTTGGCCCTATTGGGTAGGGTTTTTTTTTTTTTTTTAAATGTTTAGTTTTAATTTACATTTAATCACGTATCTTTACGGTGTACAACATTGCTTTTTCCAGCATGAATACCATGCATGTCAGTCAAGACAAACATTACTATATACATTATCATCAGCAAATAGCTTTTCACTTTTTTGTCAATTAACTACTATTATTTTTTTCTTGCCCTTGTTCCTCTTTTGCTTGTTTTTGTTTTGTCTTTATTTTTTTTGAGAGAGATTTTCGCTAGAGGGTGCATGCACTTGCTGGAGAGACAAAGTGAGAAATCACCACCCGGGGGGTATGGCCACATGGCAGTCCCTTCTCCTCCAGTCTTCTCTCGGGATTTTGGGCATGCACGCACATACGCCTGACATGAGTTTGGTGCAGAGGAGGTGCTCAATGAATGTTAGTTCCCCTCTCCTTTTTTGGTATCTCATAGTACCTTGAATGGTGTTAGGCACATAGAAGTCGCTCAGAAAATACTAGTTGACTAAACATTACACCTTTTTTTTTTTTTTAAGAATTATTTTATTTACTTATTTTTTAATTTGACCAGAGGGACAGAGCAAGAGAGTAAGAGAGCAAGAGAGAGAGAGAGAGAAAATGAGAGAGCGAGCTGCTAGACTTGGGACTCAAACGGCCATGTGGGAGTCCAGTGCCCTTAACCACCACACCACCTGCCGGCCCCTATCCATTACATCTTTTTTTTTTTTTCAAGGGATACCAAAT